ACTTGTGTGTGTGTGTGTGTGTGTGTGTTCGTCTGTCTCCGTCTTTGACAAAAAACACACTCACGCACACTTGACAGGCGCCAGTCTCGTATCAGTGTAATATCTGTAGATAGCTCAGTGGTCTGTTCCAGCACTGGCAGATGGTGTTCATTGACCAGTGCCCTTTACTTCCCTCCCTCCTTCCTTCCTAGTACCCTTCTTTCCTTCCTCTCTTCCTTAGTCCCTTCCTTCCTACATCCAGTCTGGATAAAGACACGTGCCTCTCTAGCCCAAGCCCTAAGGGAAGTGTGCCATACTTTGAAGCGAATCTTACATCGTGGCCGAACGGTGGAATTACAACTTCCTGGTCTGTCATGTGACACCATTGGGTTAAAAAAAAGACTTTCCCCATATATTTAGTATGTGGGAAAGGAGCGTCTGTAAATAAGCGGAAAGTAAGAAAAAAAAAAAAAAGATTTGGTTCTAAAATGCACTAATAGTCAAATCCAGCATTATTTTCCTTCATTTATTCATGTGAAAGAGCCCGAGGGGCTGAACCAAGGGCTGGGAGGTGAGGAAACGCTAGTGCGCTTGCTCTATGGGCCCCATGGATGTGGAGGATCACCGGATGATCTGGGTGATTTTATTCTCGGAAGTCTAACTCTTTTTTCCTTCACTGAGCAACTTCCATTGGAATAAACGGGGCCCTGCCTCCAATGCTCTTTTGCTCTTGCCTTGAACTTTGAAAGCCCTCACCAAACAGTAGAAATTGCCAAGGATTTAGTGCTACCCACTGTGCCCTGCATGTGTGTATGCATGAATGCGTGCGTGTGTGTGTGTGTGTGTGTGTGTGTGTGTGTGTGTGTTCACAGAGATAAAGTAGTCTGCCAATTTAATCTCTGTGAAGTCTGTCTGTGTCCACGTCCAGCCTCACTGCTGAGGGAAGAAAACGGTCGGGGTACATTTTATAGAGTAGTAATTCACAATAATTAGGTGTTGTACTGCGGGAATGGTTCTATTTTATTTCCCTTGGATACTTTTCAATGTCTTTTTCCAATTAGCTTTTCACTTCTATGAAGCTATATTTGTTCTTTATGCCTGTTTCGCAACTTCAGATGAGGCTGCATTAATGACGTTCTCTGTGGTTTTGGCTTTGACGGTGCACTTAACGGGTTTAATGCAGCACTTATTCACATGGGTGTGTCTGTATCTCCCTCTTTGACGAGGTGATGCGCGTTTGGATTTGTGGGCTGTATACTGATATATCTCCAGACACATACGGTGGAAGTCTATAGCTGGACTAAAGATCCACACAAGAAAGAACTTGAGACAAAATTGTGTGATAATACAACTGTAATACCGAAAGTGTTCAGTAAACATTGTAAACATGAGTTTATGGTCTCAATCTCTAGTTTCAAGTCTTCTTCAATACAGCATGATGTTCATTTAGTAAACAATGATCCATTTAGAGAAAAATAGACCATAAAGCAGAGTATGCTTTAGGGCGGGCTTACTGTGATTGACAGGTCGCTGCCGCTACCAGAGCCGTATACGGCATCTCTACGTCACTCCTCCTAAGTCCAAATATGATGTCTTCCTTCAAATGATTGCAAAATGTCAAGATGGCGACGGCCAAAATGCCTAACTCGAGGCTTCAAAACGGCAGTCCACACTGATGGGTGGTGTCACGATGACTACGTACACTTCTTATATACAGTCTATGATTTTTAGAGAAAATCTGTGTGTGCCACTGACCGGTGGCTGCACGGTCCGTGTACGAAAACCTCCCTGGGAGGACCGGGAGGCCGACCTTCAGTTGGCGGCTGTGTAGCAACTCAAATTCAGCCAGAGTAAACACCAGCACCGGGAGCTGATGCAGATTCTAGCCCATGTAACGGCAGCTACAGAAAGCTTGCTGATGCGGCAGCGCATTGGGACAGTCCCCCAGGATCAGACCCCTGGTGCTGGGGTTTGCATTGGCTGAATATGAGTTGCTACAGAGCCGCACTCTGTACGACCAGCGAAGTGGTCTCCTGGAGGCCGGGAGCACGAAATGAGATACCATTTCAAGATACAGAGATACCGCGGATTGTTTTCACGCTTTGAATTTGATGCAATTAACTAAGAATCTGGTGTTCTGTATTGGTGTAGTCATATTACATTACATATTATTTACCAAAAAGTACCAATAACACATGATAAAAACCGTTTAAAAATTGTTTAATTGCAAACTTACAGTCAAATGGAAACATTTAGCCACTGCTTCATCAGTGTCTCTTGTTTTAATCTAAATGCGTTGGCTTGTTTATTCTGGTCCAGAGCACAGCATTCATCCCCGGGCTCTTTGTGAACTTGGAAGAAACCGACCGGATGCACTGGCTGCGCGGCCTTTATAACTGTCTGGATTGATAATGTAATATTGTACGATTAAGTGGAAAAATATTTATTGATGTTCAGCATTACTGCAGGACTTTGGCACACAGCGTTTGATTTTGGAGAGGTGTCCACTCCACACTCACACGGACGACACATTTTCAGCATAAATATTTAACAGCTACTTTCTCTTTGCTCTACAATCCCATTACCACTGAATATGTTAAATGATACACTCAAATATTAGACAACTAGGCCCTTCTTTGAGCTGAACGCTGACACCGGTTTGGTAAAGTGATTAAGACAATGCCAATTAGCTCTAAACACAAAGTGCAGCTGGGGCTGATGGGAATGGCAATAGTTTTGGAAAAACAAAATTTTGACCTGATGATTGCACTAGATGAAAAGTCAGATCATTACCAAAGTTGTCATGGTTCATCCCAAGGGCGACATGAAAGTGAAAGCCAAAAACGATTATGAGAGAACTATTAAGAGAAAATTAAACTTTGTTCGAGACCTTTCTTCGTCTCAGCAACACACTCTCGCTGGATCTGGCAACTATCATTCGCATATGTCCTGGCCAACAAATTTGCATAATTTTAAATCCGGCTGTTGACTGTGTAAATAACACATTTTTGCAAAAGAAAATACATATAAATATGCAAATTTTACCCAATCTGCTCTCATTCATCCACACCATGTTCACAACCCTTCCAATCAAGGACCCAGGAAGTGCATACCAGGAAGTGCATACCATTTCAAACAATTGGCGGAGCTTGTAATGCGTCATCTTTAAAGCATCTTTGGTTTTATCCGATGCCACTTGTGTTCAAATATATGTAAATGATTGAAATATAAAAGTCAAATATTTCATGTGAATGACAATTAATTCATCGTGTCATTTTGTTTTTTTGAGTTACAGCAACCTCTACACCTCAGCCAAAACTTTTTATGCAATATTTGGACTTTTTTTTCGGCATGTCCTCTCTGGTCTTTCAATGCACAGATTGCACATTAGAACCGGTGGAAGCAAACGCACTTGAGCAGTTAACACAAACTCTAGAGCAAGGGGTTTATGGAATTTTAGTGATATTGGTGTGCGTGTGTGTGTTTGTGTGAGTGTGCCAGGAGAACATCAGTGCACCAGCTTCATGTGAGGCTGTTTCGTGTAGGCGGAGGCCCGAGCATAATGTTTTATATCCGCACTACACAGCAGCACCCAATTTGTATTGACGCGTCCCTCCGGGTCGGCCGCCCCGCCCGTTGCAGAGCAAGCGAAGCCATGACAAACTGTGAAATGAACTTAATTGGCACTTTGCTGTCACAGCCACTTTACTCTGTTGCTCCATGAATATAGGCTTTCATGTAGTCTCACTTAATGATATACATACACACGCTGCACGTTTTTAACTTGGCGGCTTAGCTCTGCTCATTCGTGGTCATCTCGACTGAATCATTTGTTGTCTGTTGTCGGTCATTGCTTTAGTTTTCCTCCGTGTTGCTTTCGGATGAAGGACTTTTTTGATGTTGTTGTTGTCAAAACTCTCTTTTCGTTTTAACATGAATGTATCCAAATATTACAGAAGGTCTGAAGAAGCTGTTTATCATGACCTGCAAGATAACCGTGAGTGGTTATGGCTGTGAGCATGTGTGTTTATCGTGTATGCATAAGCTCATCTGATACGGGCGCTGGAGACGCAGTGTCTTGTCTGTCTGTGGCCCAGCTGTCCAGGGACGTGTTTGTGGGTGAGCGTGGGAGAGTGAGTTTGTGTGTGTGTGTGTGCGCGTGTGTGTGTGTGTGTGTGTGTGTGTGTGCGTGTGTGTGTCTGTGTGTTTATCCCCACCGTTATCTGTGACAGATAGTTATGAGCAGACAGACTGACGCTTTCCCAAGTGTTAGCCTTGGGGCGGACTGGGGAGAGGCATGAGGGTGTGTGTTTGTGTGTGTTAGTGTGTGTGTGTGTGTGTGAGAGAGAGAGTGAAAGGAAGAAATGAGCGTCTGAAATGCTCTGTTTCATCCCAAACTCCCACAGTTTTTTTCTTCCCTTGTTCTTTACATCATTGTTTCCTTCCTTTTTCTTTCCGTTACTCCTATTGTTTGTCTTTGCTGCAAAAAATATATTCTATTTTCACAAGTTATTCAGTCTCGCATCCAATATTTAATTAGTTTTTCTTTCCCAGAGGGATCAAGCCTATTTACTGCAAGTGATGCCAACTTTACATTGAATATTGTATATACAGTTTGTCATTTAGAGAAATAGACTTATTTGCTTTAGCCATAACGATTTAAAAAAGTTATACCAGCGCCGTCTGTATAACTTCCAGTTCAGCATGTACGGGAAGGGAAAATGGCTGCGAGGGTGGATGTGGGAGCTGCTATCAGCTGAATCAGGTTATACAGGTTTGCCGAAATGAACAATCTCAGCACCTTCAGTGAGCCCCGAGTGGAGACTGTGTCAGTCACCAGTCAACTGTATAAAACGGGCGTAATGCTTTTATTTCTACCTCCTTAATTATATGCAAGCAGAGTGCGAGGCCGTGGCTATTTCCAGGAAGCACTATATACAAGAGCAGACCTGCTACTTATCCTACTTTAAAGAATATCTTGAGGAAATGTTTGTTCTGACTTACGTTTCTTAAATCTCTAGGGCGCTGTCCTGCTCTGTGCCCCCTGAATCATTCAGGGCCCCCCTCCACCAAAGGCACCAGCAACGGATATGATCCCTCACTGGCTTCTCACCACTCAACACAGGCAATTGAGTTGAAGGTGAGTGCTTTCCGACCCTGCACCACCCAAGCACACTTTCAGATGCTTTGGAAATATTTATATCAATCAATATAATTTATTGGGTCTGCAAGGTGGTGTAGTGGCAGCGTGGGTTCCCTCCGGGTTCTCCGGCTTCCTCCCACAGTCCAAAGACATGCAGCTTAGGTTATTTGGAGATCTGAAATTGCCCGTAGGTGTGAATGTAAGCGTGAATGTTTGTCTGTCTCTATATGTGCCCTGCGATAAACTGGCAACCTGTCCAGGGTGTACCCTGCCTTCGCCCAATGTCAGCTGGGATTGGCTCCAGCGCCCCGCGACCCTGAATAGGATAAGCGGTTTGGATAATGGAATGGAATATAATTTATTTGTATTGAGCAGTATTTAACTTGTAAGTTCTTAAATAAATTAAAGAGTTTATGTATATCTTCATTTCGTATGATATTATCAAACTGTTGTAAATATAACCAGATTTGAAACAAATCTTGTATTGAATGCAAATGTGAAATGTGATTAATGTGAAATGTGATATAGGGATGGCCATGAGAGGAGGGGAAATGGAAGAGGAAAGGATATGAGGTTTTTTTTAGTGTGTGTGTGTGTGTGTGTGTGTGTGTGTGTGTGTGTGTGTGTGTG